TGTGAACGGTCTCTATTTAAAGGAACAATGCCATGGCCTTTGAACAATTGAAGGGTCTCGTTGTCTTTATTCCTAAATTCACTAATTACGTCCATATAAGACCGGCGACAACTTCACACGTCATGCTGAAACTGAAACTGCTGCGAGCCCGGGGAAAAGCGCCGCAGCAGAGTGTGGCCTCATTACCACCGTGAAGACAAATTAGTGCGCGCCTAGGCACCTAAATATCTACAGAGCAAGACCTTTGCACAAGAAATGATTACCATATAGAAACTCACTGATGAAAATAAAGTAAGAAAATAAACAGTAATACAAATAACTCATTCACGGCTTAGTCCTATATACTAACCACCTAACCTAACCTTTATATGTCGGAGAAATGATTATGAAAAGTTTATTGTCTCTGCAAATGTATTTTTTTTAAATATATTGAAATTTTTTCTAGAGAATTTGTTTGTCATGTGCATTGCGGCTTTCTTAGGTTAGGTTAGATAAGGTAAGGTAAGATCAGTTAAGATTAGATTTTGTTAGGGAAAGATACATTTCCCTAATTTTGTCACGAAAAAAAATCACGACTGAATGTATCGGATAAAGAATCTATGAACATAATTCTTTTTCTAAGAAAAAATGCTATACCACTGTTAATTTTTATCACCCTTTTTTATTAGGTTTGATGAACTTAGATTGGGTTAGGTAATATTTAACTGAGTCATGGGTACATTAATGAGGTCTATCTGCAAGTTTACTCAAGTCATAAAAAATATTTGTACCATAAATAGAAACACTCAAGCCTCTTCATATCGTAAAAAAAAGAAAAAAGACAAACTGTACAGTGGTCCCTCGGTTAACGAGTTACCTTCCATAACATTCTTAACTTCGGTTAACGAGCAATCCCTCGATTAACGAGTTTTTTACGAGCCGACCTCCACATGTTTTCGCTTGCATTTGGCGGTCCACCAGCTGTAGTATTAGTCTGCCAATACAGTAATCGGTTCTAGGGCTTAAATTCCTTACTATTTTAGTAAATATCAAGAAGTTTATACTATTCATAATTTTAAGTTTTATATTAAATTTTTTAGTCATTTTAACAATTATTGAACACAATTGAAGTATAGGAAGCTAGTTTTTTGCACGCCATACAGCCTGTCAACACACCATACAGGCGCCAGTCTCTCTGTCTTTTCACTGGAGGTAACATCTTGCTTCAGACTCTCTTCAACTAAACGCTTTTTTTCTGTTTCCAAGCAAATCATTGGTCAATTTGAAATTTATTTTACATATTGACAATATATAGTACAATGCAGTGCAGTGTTGATTTAAAGAAAATAATCTTGAATTACACCAAGTGAACTAAAATTTTATGGGTGAAATAGCGCCATGGGGTGACTTCTCTTCCACCCCAATGCCTTCTCTTCTCCCTTCTCCTCCACCCCCATTCTAATTCCAATCATCATCATCATCATCCAGGAGCCTTCTACATACACACCTCAAAGTAAGTGTACTTTACTACCTTTTTTGTTGAATTTAGGCAATTTTTGGTGAGGTGGAACCAATTACCCAAAAACCCATTGCAACAATGGTTTCGGTTAACGAGCAGCCTTCTAGAACGAATTGTGCTCGTTAACCGAGGGACCACTGTAATATGGTATTTTAGTATGTTGATGTACAAAACATTTTCATTATTCTATGATAAAACAAGTCTAACAAGCATTATTACAACATATATTATTAATTTTTGTTATGCAATCAGGAAATAGCGACTACTATATCCGGGTTGAGCGTGTTTCAGCAGCTAAGGAGGTCCTGTAAGTTACGGCATCGAATACGGGCTCACTTACGGAATTCATTGCCAAATAAAGTACAGTACAATCAGTTCTGCTATAATGCATGTTTTGTCAACGCGGATTGGCTATAACACGATTGATGAATAGAAGAACGAAATTTGTAAAACGCGAACGAGTGTTGGCTGTAACGCGATTCCACTCGAACGTTTTAAGTGTACCTGTACAGTACTGTCGCTTGGCGCGGGGTTATGCAGTGTTTACAGTTCACGTTCGACATCACATGTTCAATTGATTCATGTGTTTTGTTTGTGAAGAATTGCAGAAATAATTTATGTAATATTTATGTATACAGTATATCTGTACAGTATATGTAAATTGTAAAATTTAAAATAAAAGAGAAAAACAAAGTATGTAGCGTTTTACACCCGCGCTCTGTTTACATCACGCGATCAGTTGAAACGCGTGGGTTGTTTTGAAGCGTCTTCAGTGATTTTTGCTTACGGTTTCTCCAATTTTGTGAATATGGAAAAGAAGAATATCTCCAAGAAGCGTTCTGGTGATCGCAATTCCGGTGGTGATCGTAAAAGAAAGGCTATAACACTTGAAGAAAAGCTTGATGTTATCAAGCGTTTTGAAAATAAGAAAAGAACATGTGATATTGTGCATGCAACGGGAATAAAGGAGTCTACTTTACGCACCATTAGAGACAATGCAGGAAAAATTAAAGCAAGCTGTATTGCTGGGAAAAGCTTGAGTGCTAGCAAAAGTGTGAGATCACGACCAAAGAAACTTGAGGAGATGGAACGGCTTCTAAGTGTTTGGATAGAAGATCAAACGAAAAAGCGATCTGGGACCAGCTTCCTCGCCATTAAAGAGAAAGCCTTATCAATATATGAGGACATAAAGAAAAAAGATGAAAATCCTGCTGACGTGGTTGCCTTTAGTGCTAGTAGTGGATGGTTTTCTGGTTTTAAGAACCGCTATGCATTTCATAATGTAAAGTTACGTGGTGAAGCAGCAAGTGCCGACGAAGCAAGTGCCCGGGCATTTCCTCCCACTGTAAAGAAATTGATTCAGAAAGGCTACACCTTAGACCAAATTTTTAATTTGGATGAAACAGGTTTATACTGGAAGCGCAGGCCAACAAGAACTTACATTTCCAAGAATGAAGCACATGCTCCAGGCTTTAAGGCTGTGAAGGACCGCATGACAGTGTTGTTGGGTGCAAATGCTAGTGGAGACTTAAAGCTAAAGCCTGAGCTGGTGTATCATTCTGTCAACCTGCGAGCTTCAAAGGGTTACATAAAGTCTACTCTAGGTGTTTACTTTAGGTCAAGCAAAAAAGGTTGGATGACGGAACAAATTTCTTCTGACCTTCTAGTGGATATTTTTGAAAATGTTTTTAAAAGCGATTACAAGAAGAAGAATATAGATTTTAAGATTCTCCTCATTTTAGATAATGCGCCAAGCCGCCCTCCCACCATTGCTGAGCTTTCTGACAATATCAAAGTGCTCTTTCTACCTCCAAATACAACATCTCTCTTTCAACCAATGGACCAAGGAGTAATAACAGCCTTAAAAGCCTATTATTTGAGGCATACATTTAAGAAACTTATTGCAGCTACTGAGGAAGGAGATGATAAGGCCAGTGTTCTTCAGCAGCTACTGAGGAAGGAGATGATAAGGCCAGTGTTCTTCAGCAGCTACTGAGGAAGGAGATGATAAGGCCAGTGTTCTTCAGTTTTGGAAAAGTTTCAACATCAAGCATGCAATTGACATCATTGTGGAGGCCTGGGGTGATGTAAGTAAGGACTGCTTGAGTGGAGTTTGGCGTAAACTTCTCCCAGATTTAATTCATGATTTTACCGGCTTTGATGCATCAGAGGAGCTCCCCAAAATAAAAGAAAATTGTGTTTCTCTTGCAAAGCAAGTTGGCTTTGCTGAAGTGGAAGGTGCCGATGTTGAGGAACTGCTCGAGTCCCACTGTGAAGACCTCTCTACAGCTGATCTACAACAACTTGTTGCTACTGGGGAAATAGAAGATGCTGAAAATGATGAAGGGCAGGATGCAAAACCAAGAGAGCTTCCCACTTCTCTTTTGTCTTCTATCCTAAGGGAAGTTGATAAGCAGTTGCAGATCTTGGAAGACAATGATTACAATGCAGATCGGAGCAGGATTGCAGTTTGTGGTGTTCAATCTTTTTTGGCACCTTATGAACAGCTTCTTTGTGAAAGAAGAAAGACGACAAAGCAGCAAACATTAGACGTCTTTTTTACATCAACCCCCCAAGAAGCAGTCTGAAGACACTGAACCACAGCCATCCACTTCTGGAATTAGCCTTTTTTTTTCGTCCCTCCCATGCAACCAAAACTGCACCTGATGATGATGATGATACTGACAATGACAACTCTCAACTCCTGTCTGCATGACTCCTCAACATCAACCTTCTCCCCCATCAAGTTATATTCATATTTTTTCAAGGTAAAGTATGACATTTACTGTATGATTTCATTATTAGATATGAATGTAACATTTATTCATTCTGTGCGATCATTTGTGTTAGGCTAACTACTAAATTTGTTTCGATTTCGAGTAATCTGCACCTAACCCTATTTTCTCCATAAGCCCTGTTATTTCTATTGCGTGAATTTCTACAACGCGAGGTTTTACAAGAACACAACTATCGAGTTATAGCAGAACCGACTGTATTTGTTTTGAGTATACCGATTGGAGACTAAGTCCAGTTATGGGGTAAACAAAGAGATACAATCCCGTAAATGCTTTTGAGTATGCGGCCACAGTACTGTTATTGTGTGACCAGCAATGACTGCCCTGTGTTTATCAATCAGTGATGGACCTTGTGGTGCTGTTTTGGGTTGGCTACATAGGTGAAAAAGTACACCTTTATGATCTCCAAAAATATAATTGTTGAACCTGTTAAAATGCCTTCAATATACAGGACTACAATCATTCACCTAATTATATATATATTTTTTAAAAACCATAATGCAACTGTACCTCAGGGATCACCTGTAATATAAGCTGCATTATATTATACTACTAATAATGCTACAGCTGATCAGAATATTAATTAAGCTTTGATATATACAAAAGCTTAAATATACATGCAATATGAATAATAAAAAAGTTGTGTTATAATGTTATTAGAAGCATATGCATTATCTACATACATTATCTGGTATGTGAAAACTCACCCCCACCTGTATTTTCTTTGTCAGCAACCATGACAGCAGAGCCACTGTGACCAGCCCTATGTACTCCCCTGCGAGGCACAGCCCGCTTGAGGTGACCCTGGTCATCTGGAACAGGTTGACCTTCTTCTGAGCTCGTAGAATCACTGATGTCATTCTCTGTTGACAGTATATGACACTTATAAATTAATTTTGGCATAACGCTACACATAAAACATCTAACAACCTAAAATAAGACTGACATCGTGAAATCCACCTCACTCTACCATAACATAAACTATAGTCTTTTTTTTTTTATTATACAAGCCCTGTCTCCCTTGTAGCTCATTGGCTCATACATAATGTTCAATTAATAATGATATATTGCAAATTTAATCAAATTAACTAAACTGTTAACAAATGTTAACAATACCTAGTTCTGGCTCACTTTAATGTGCAGTATGTAAAACTATAACTGTTTGAAAACTTTAACTTTCAAGAAATGAGGGCAAAGCTTCTGAGACTAGCACCGTCTACAACTATACTTCCAAATTACAACGTGTAGTATATTGTTGCTCGTGTCAACTGCTCATGTATGCTTACACATACTGTATTAGGTTCAAAACAAACTTCCAAAACACATGACACCTCAAGATAAATGCACTGTACATACACTTCCTTACAGATTTTTGTGGAGATCACTTGACTGCTTGCATTAAAACAGCAACATTGTCCTCACTTGTGGGAGACCTCATACATTAAAGAGTGAGGACAATGCTGCTGTTTTAATACAAACCATCCCATGATCTTAACAACAACCTGTCTGTGTGTGTATTTTTCACACACCTTGTAAACTCTCTCAATGACAGACTTCTCAATAAAGTAATAGATGCAGTAAATCTTCTCAATAGTGGACAATTCATTAGTAGATAATCTCAATAACAGAATCCTCCCTATAATGGACAGGGCTTGCAAGAATTAGTCTGGCATTGGGAGGGGTTAACTGTAACTGCATTTCAGCTTGGAAAACATTCACATGTAAACTAACAATCTACACAACACAAGGCAAGAGTAGTGGTGTGTCCCTGTACTGTACTGTACTCTACTCTATGGTGTTTCATGAGGCCAGGTGTGCATCTTGAACTGTACAGTTTTATTTCAAATTACTTTACTTGAACCTTTTATTATTCTTGGTTCAATAATAAAACTATATACCTTTTAAATCTTTACAATAACTTTAACTCCCACTCATGACTGACACACACACACACACACACACACATATTTTCAGCCACCAGCTGCAACTCTAATAATAAACTGTTTATTATTATTATTACACACACACACAAGAGCCTAGCTCAAAATATGTTTGTTACCTTCATTATAAGAAGCATCCTGAGACTGTTGAGCCAGCACATAGTTCGTCACACAGCGCCATATTAACAGCATAAAGTGTACAGTGCTGTTGATGTCTAACTTATTGCTGGCATAACGGTAAAATCGACGAGCTGCAGCGCGATTTTCCTCTAACAGCGACAGACACCGTTGCAAAATTTCCTGCAATTGAGCATTAAAATGAAGATGTGAAGTTTGATTGGTCATTTTATGGCTTTACATAACCTAACCTCTTTAAGGATTCTCTATTACAGAATGCTGCTAACTTGACCACACCTCTTCTCTATAAACTAAAGCCCAAACTACAACCAGGTTATAAAATGACATCGACAGTGAATCTTGAAAAATTTTTGTCCCTACAATTAATAAATGGCAAAGTCATTAAACTAATGACAGACAGACAGATACTTTAACTCTTGTATCCAGACTCACTCTCAGGTAGTTAACTTGCATAACACATACATATATACAGCAACACTTTCTAACTGACTAAAGGCAATATTCAACATGCAGCAATGTTGATCGTTCATCACCATCAATATTTTACTGATAATTCACATCCTTGCATTTGTCAGCTGTGATTACCTGATGGCAGCTCTCCAGGTTGCCCAATTTCTTAGGCCCGAATTCAGAACGATACTTTGAGCCTGGGATTTGAACTCGGCTCAGGCGTGCGAATCAGGATTCCTCGAGCCGAGATTTCCTGCAGTGGATTACCCATATTCAAAACATCGGCTTGAACCCCAGATCAGGTAATCTGTTGCATTTTCTTCAGCTATGAACAAGGATTCGAACACTGAAATTCCAGCCAATCACATTTCAGCTACAGCATTACAACAGCCAATCACCATCGAGAGTAATGTTTACAAAATTACGGCGGCAACTACGACCTGACGAGTTGTTACGAAGGAGGAGAAATCTCTCCTTGTACATCAAAAGTTACTTTTATGACTATAATTATAATCAAATTATCAAATTATAATGATTTATGGTAGTGTGTTACAAAGTGGCTGTGTGGTTATATGATAACAAAGAAATTCATAGAGGAAGACCAATTACATACAAAATGTAGATATAATCCGGGACAGGTGTCAATATTCATAACCAAACCAAGATGAATCAATGCAAAGCGTAGTAACCTGGCTAGGTTCAGTTAGGTTAGGTTTCTTTCTGTTCTGATAACCCCCTATTTCCCCTGATTAGTAATGTTAAAAAAGACTTTCCTTTATTACTACATTAAAATCAAAATGCACTCAGCATTGATTCAATTATATTGAAAATACATCAAAATAGTTTTCCTAAAGAAAAACAATGAAAATAAAGTGCGTCAGCGTTCTTTACATTTACAGACTTGATCTTCAGGGACCCTAAACACGAAAGTGTTGTAACACATTACCATAACTCATTCAGTAACCAGAATCTTTCTTACCCAGAAACTAATCAATGCAAAGATTCTCAAAGCAATCATCAGCTGATGAATGGGAGGTAGAGGTAAACCATTGCCAACAGGTCTGTCAAGTAGATGCCTCCAGGCTGGATTAATGCGAGGATCGACAATTCGGATCTTAAACCCGGTTTGAATCTTTGTGTTGGCTCAAGCCAGCGTTCTGAATACCAACAATCTTCAATCTTCGCCCGATCCTTGGTTTAAACCTTCATGCGGTTTCAAATCACTGTTCTGAATTCGGGCCTTAGGGTGCGATCATACAAGGGTACAGTATGTTTTGTAGCCAACACATATGAACGAGAAGTAACGGAGGTCTAGTGCACACGGACGCACCCTACCAGTCAGAACCACGTGCCTTATTTCGTCTTGTCGATCACACGTTGTCAACAAAATGTACGCTCATGTGGACACACTCTTACGACCTCAGTCACCAGGTGGTTATCCGTGAGAAAAAAAATTTTCTCAACATGTCATTTTGGCCTACCCCAAGTTCTCCTCCCCTCTACATTCATTGGAATATAAAAACAGCAAAATACTTTTTACCTAAAGAAAAATTGCTGACTTACTCTAAATATGATCTATGAAAGTGAATATACTATAGCTTTCTCCTAAAACACGAGTACAGTATAGTAGTGACTAGAGCAGCCACCAACTGACCTCATCTTCTTGATGAACAGGATGGAAGGAACTGAGTAAGAGCTGAGTAAGTAACTTGCACACTACTGGTTTGTCCTCCTCCATCCTGTGCAGGAGGTGAGGCACCGGTATGATATCCCAGTATCTATGGGGTGAACAATGGTCAGTCATGCTTTACTCTTAAGTTTATCTGTCATCAAATACTAAAAATTGTAATGCAAATCAATGGACAGGACAATGTGTACACCGTACAGTATTCCCAAATTCTTCTGTGGATTACCCATAATAATAATAATAATAATACTAATACTAATACTAATAATAATAATAACAACAATAATAATAATAATAATAAAAACAACAATAACAAAACGAACACTACTGAAAAAATTCTAGGTAAGGAAATATCTTTATATGTTTTCTGAGATGTACATCTAATTACTCAACCACAAAGTACAACACTGGCATCCAAGTGTTTAGTCATTGGCTCTTAAGATAACAAGTGCAAACATCATAACTGCTGAAATAATGACATATCCATCTACGATTCAGCCAGGGAAATGGGCACACACACCTGACAACACACACAAATGATGGATAAATGGAGCTGTGTCAAAACAAACTTGATAACACACATACAACTGATGGATAAATAGATGACTAACATAAACTTCCAATTTAAAACCCAGAGGAGGAAGTAAAGGAGAAGCAGTAGTTTGGTAGAGGGTCAGGGTCCCATTAAGAGGGACGGCATCTGTAAACAACCCCAGCAAGTGTCTACCTTGGACTGGGAGCACTGTTAAACAATTCTAACAAAAGTCCGTGCCCCCCACAAAAAGTGGGACAAATACTGTATTAACAGACTGTAACTTGACCCAGTGGTTGCTTTGAGGCAGCAAGGCCTGAGGTTCCACAGGTCTTATCCATAAAACAGATCACCTTAGTATCAAGAAAACCAGTGGTTATAAATAAGGATTTGTCCTTTGAGCCTTCACCATTCCAGCTAATACAGAACCCCATTGAGGGAGAAGAAGGGAGGTGGAGGTACACTTGCCATAAAAAGTTATCAAACATTATAAGGGTCGTACAATATGAAAAAAACAAACGAAGAAGTTTTATTGCAAATTAAGTGATTTCTTTTCACCTGTAAATACTATAAAGACGAGCAATATATATTATTACAAAATACTGAGATTCATTTCACAACCAGGAATACCAACCATTCGAAGATGACAAGAGCCATAGTGCTCATTCTGAAATCCTTCGTGACCAACTGTTTGAGAACTTTTTGTGACAAGTGTAAATCAGGTGATTTATTTATTCCTTACCTGATAACTTTTGACGATTTCACCTTCAACAGTAACTTAACAAATGCAATACGAACATTGGCACTTATGTCATCGAAGACGTCAGCGATGCGAGGTAATACTTCAATAAGGAAAGGTGCTGCATCTCTGGAGTCCACCAACAGTGTCAGACCCTGTTAATTGTGTTTTGAAATTACAATAAATACTATAAAAACTTTTGAGTGACATCTCCAGTGGAAATTTTGATAAGGAGTGAAGCATTTATTACGAATTTGTCAGGGAAAGACATAGCTTCCCAAGGAAAGTAGGATTACACCAATGATATCAGGTGACACCTTTGCCATTTTTAAATAGTTTCATGGTAAAGTGTAGTTAGAGAACTGAATACAAGAATAGTGATATGGGAAACAAGTGTAAAGTGGTTCAGCTAATGACACAGCTCTAGTGGTCAATTTAAAAATAAAGTTAGAAATTATTTAGGAATTTGTGTGAAGGAGAGCAGTATAAACAAAACTAATAAAACTAAGTAGCTAGAGAAGAGAGACAAAAAATAATAAATATTAGCTTGATGAGAGACAGAATGAAGGGATTTACCATGTATGAAATTCTCAAGCGGGAATAAATGTGTCCAGCAACGTAACTAATTTACTAACCTTAATAACTTGTGTGCGAACTTCCGCTGAGGAAGCATCGTACACTAGATCTGAGAGCAGCTTCTGGAAAATGGTCTTGATGATGTCTGATGGGATCGTGAGCCAGAAGGAAGCCAAGATGCTGGACACACCCTACAGATAATACAAATTAGTTTCTTATACAGACACTTTTTATTCTAATCAGTATTAATTGTGTAGTGCTCATCAAACTCATTTTATATTTGGAATGTAACAAAATGAACACTGGGGGGTGAGCTCCTTCGCTTATTTCACCCGATGCTTAAACACCCTAACGTTAAATACGTACAGTATTGGAGCTAGATTACATTAAGTTAGGTAATGTTAGGTTAGGTTAGGTCAGGTTAGGTCAGGTTAGGTCAGGCTAGGTTAGGTTATATTAGGTAAGGTTAGGTTGTGTTAGGTAAGGTCAGGTCAGGTTAGGTTACCTTTAGGGTGTTTAAACATGAGGTGTGATAAGTAGGTTTTTTTTAATTCTTCAGGAGATCCAGGTAAACTACATCATCATCAGCACATGGACAATCATAGTCTTACCTTGATGGCAGTGATGCGGACAAGATGGCAGGGATCAATAAGCAAGGTGATAATTGTCTGGTACTGTTTCTCCAACAGATTGCCTCGCTCTTCTTGATTAAGGTAACTGTCCATGAGCGGGAAAGCATCACACAGCAGGGCAGTGGCATTCATGCGGACTAGACCATTGGCGACCTGGAAAGGCAATACAAGAAACTTAAGTAAAATACTGTATATACATGTATACTGTACTTAGGCACATATACAACATTACCAATAAGAAAATGAATTGAAAAGGTGAAAGGAAGGGGAAAGAGAAAAGTGTTCATATCACACATGAAGTAAAAAAAAATTTGAAGAATGGAAAGAAATTAGTTAAGGTTTTCTTAGCTTGAGAAAAATACAGTACAGGATAAGGTAAATTTGACATTATAATTATATCCTTTCATAACCCATCCCCCTTTTAATATATCAAATGACACATTGACAGCTCTCATAACCTGACACATTAAATGTTCACATGTTTCTGATTCTTATACAATGAAGATGCAGAAAGCTTATAAATATTTGGAGGTCTAAGTTTCAAGGGAATTTGTGTACAGTGTATCTTTTTATCACAACTCAAGTTAAATAATTATAGGAAAAATGGATCACCAACATAGTGTACTAATATACACTACAATAATTGTTCAAGATCCTACTTTTCACCCAAATTTTTTTTTCAAAGGCTTTAACTATCAACTGGTGGCTAAGAATTCCCTATTGACCACCCAATATATGCAAAAAAGGAATAGAAGGAACATGAAACGGTTAGGTTAGTATCTGGATACTATACACAACCAAGTCTGCTGTCCCTTCCATGTTTTACTAATATTTCACATTAAAGATTTTAACTTATACGGTACAGTATATCAATGGTGTTGGCTTGTTGTTCACCAGTAGTTGATATAAATAAAATCCTTGTTTCACCTCTCTTTAATCCCACTTCTGTCTCCAGTATATTTTTAATCCTCAGGTGAAACAAGAGGGACTTGTTAATATTCACCGAGATCTATTTACTACAGTGAAATGTCCATATAACAGACTTTGCTCTCCATTTAATCTGTGAGATGGGGGTTACATATCCTACAGACCCTTGATATAATGGGGTTTCATATCTATATAATTCATTAGATGGAGGTTTCACATCCAACGTGACCTCGATATTACAGACTTTTCTGAACAAA